AGCATAATGGGGCCCAAAACCCTATTCTAATTATGAAGGCCCCGATATTATGAGGTTCAGGGGTTTAGTTAGGGATCAAGGGGAATAGAGTTATGGCTACTCATGCTCATCTTGATACAAGTCCTGTTCTGCTCCTTGCCGGCTGTTTTCTTTAGCTGCTCCTCGTGATTAGCGTGATTTTGGTGGTGCTTGGTCGATTTTGGTGAGCAGGCTTACGCAAGGCTTCATATCCTCGCAGAGTAAGCGCGAACCGAGAATGCGGACGGTGCCAGAGTTCCAATGCTCGGGTATACAGAAGCTGGCACAAGTGGTTTCCCCATGGATTTGTTCACCCTAAACCCTAAACTCTAAACCCTAAGCCCTAAACCCTAAACCGTGGGGTCGACCTCGAGGGCTGATCGGCACGACTTTCGATTCAAGGCCTAAGGCACGCCTGCCACCCAGCAGGTCTGTGTGCTGACGTCGGTGGGCAGTCCCCCAGCCCTCTCGTGCAGTTTTTTGGTAGTCAGAATCCCTAACCCCCCAGGTACCTACTATATAGGGTACTGGAGGGGCTGGGGCCCTATATAGTAGGTACCTGGGGGGGCTAAAGAATGCAAGGAGCTGGATGTGCATGCCAAGCAGAAGTACTGCCTGCAGCCATCCGATGACGGGCTCCTCAGCTTGCAGTGTCATTGCCCAGCCGCCCCAAGATTACCTGTAGTCTCCATTGTAGTTCCTTTTTTTGGTTTAACCAAAGATATAACAAGGATTTTATAAGGTATCCTCAAAAAAAACTACAATGGAGACCATAGGTATGTCCCTCACAAGGGCATGCTAGATTCGATCAGTGTTTGGGAATTGCAGGGCTTTGGAGCAAAAGTGTGGGGAGTGGGTTCGACGGATATGATTTGGGAGCTAAGGCTTGCCTAAGGGTCCATGTACCCAAGCAGTAGATACTTTGGCCCCAAAGTACCCAAATAAGGACTACTTTCAGGCCAAAGTGGGTACTATTCCCTGAGGGTTGTGGTTGGAATGCATGCTTGCGGGTTTAGGCTTGCGTGAGGTTGACCTGAGGCTGATCGCTGGAGCCTGTTGCAGTGCCTGTTGCATGTAGAGAAGCGTCAAAGAGAGAGAGAGAGAGAGAGATATATATATATATATACATACACATGTGTGCATAGATGTTACATAGACAGGATGCATAGAGGGATTTGTATACAACCATGGATGGATGGACAGACAGAGATCTTTTTTGCAAGAGGGTGCGGAAGCAAACACCAGCATTTGGTACCTTAGACCCGGGTCCGGCAACAGAAAGGCGAGGCTGGGGAGGCGTAGAGCCTTCGGGTTTTGGGGGCATTTATAGGGGTGTCAGGATCTAGGGTCTCATGGCTTTAGGGTGTTTTAGCTTTAAGGTGTTACGGCTTTCTGGGTCTTGATGAACTTGCGTCTGAGGTGATCTTCGATAGTGAAGCTTAGCCGAAGCTCGTCATGAGGTTTATGGGATCCCGGCTTGTACTAAGGGTACATGTACCATGGCTCGACGACATCTTAGAATCCATTGCATGGCGAGGCGCCTTCAGGGGCCTAGAGTAGCTGTTGCACCACACTTTGGCGGAAGCGTCGGGTTTAGGGTTTAGGGTTTAGGGTTTTAATCCGAAAGCCACGAAGAAATGGGAATTTCCGAAAATAGGGGGTACCTTATTTGGGGGTCCTTATAATAAGGATCCTATTATTTGGGGTACTATATTAGGGTCCCCTATTTTCGGAAACCCCCAAATGTCAAGTCCGAACCCAGGAACATGACGGTCCAAGCAAGCAGTGCTTGCCCCGCCCGTCTGGTGTCGCAGGCGCCTTCAGTGCGTTAAAGCAGGGGCCTAAATAATTGCCTATACTATTTTGGGGGTTCCTTATTAGGATTATAGTCTAATTATGGTATAATATACCCCAAAACCCTGTTCTAATTATGAAGGCCCCCTACGTTATGGAGTTTTTACAGCGCACGACGCAAGGAATTGAAAAACTGTTTGCCTTTATCGTGTTCCATTCTCTCGGGTGGCCCCTAAAACCGGGATCACACCGTGGAGGTCTGTGCAACTCCAGCCGCTGCGATGAAGTCCGGGTTCTTTTGCCACACCAATCCCTAGTCTAGTGAGCTCGCAAAATCCGCGCCCGTAAACCCTAAACCCAAAAACCCTGCTTAGCTCCGGCATAAGTCCACGATCCTGATGCATCTATTCCCAAACCACTGAAGTGCCATGAGCCGCGAAAGCTTGAATCGAATTCAAACCCTCAGCCCTGAGCCCTACCAAGCCTTAAGCCCAAAACTCCCCACCCGCACTTTCTCCAAACATCCTAAGCCCTAAACGGTCCTAAACCCTAAACCACAAGAATCCTAGGCTCCTTAACCTGGGTACTGCCCCCACTCAGTTTCAGTTGGATAATATGTCTATTATGGTTATATTCGGCCCTTAATAGTAGGCCTATTATAGACTGCTGTTACTGTATGGGGGCAGTACCCAATCCTTAACCCAAGCCCCCACAATCCCAAGTCTAGGACAGTTTTAGGTGGGTAGTTACCGTTATAGAAGCCTTTTAGAAGGTCTATATACCTATGGAAGCCTTATAGAAGCCCTATATATATATATATATACACATGGGGGTTTCCGAAAATCGGGGACCCTAATATAATACCCTAAATAATAGGATCCTTAATATAAGGACCCCAAAATAAGGTACCCCTTTTTTTCGGAAACTCCCACATACAAAACTCCCCACCTGCAGTTTGCTTTTACCAAGCAGGTCACCGGCTGGGCCGGCCCCCAAGCCCGCCTCTTCAAGCTTCTGGCTGTCACAGAGGTTCGGGGTTCTTGTTGGGGGAATTAGGGTTTAGGGTTTAGGGTTTAGGGGTTCTTGTTGGGGGGGTTTAGGGTTTAGGGTTTAGGGGTTCTTGTTGGGGGATTTAGGGTTTAGGGTTCCGAGTTTGAGGTTCGGGGTTCTTGTTGGGGGATTTAGGGTTTAGGGGTTTAAGGGTTTCAGGGTTTAGGGATTTGCAGGGTTTCAGGGTTTAGGGTTTAGGGGTTTCAGGGTTTAGGGTTTAGGGTTACCACAATAGGGAAACCCTAGTATTTACTATTCTGGGTTCTTGTCCAGGGATTTATCTCAGAGGTTCAGCAAAACGGGGCCGAGTAGTTGATGGGCCGGATTGATTAAGACCTTGTCCAGTTCCCTTGTAGACGTCTAGCCCCTGTACATATACATATACATATACGATTTATATATATATATATATATCTAATTCCTGAATTTAAAAACAAGAACCATTACACAATGCATATCATGCCACAAAGCCCTATTCTGGTTTCTTCTTTATTAGGGGCCACACATTTGCGATTTCTTGGGGAAGTTGCCTTGGTTCTACATGATAGACGGACACAGTCGCTCAAAAAAGAACATGGTAAGACAACAACTTGAGCACACTCGCTCCAGACGTCGGTCTTCGAAACAAGATTAAAGGCCCTGTTTGGCCTCATACTCAAGGGGCAACAACAATATTATCACTATTGTGGCCCCATATTCTTCATGTTTCCATAATTTGATAATGTTTGAAAAGCTTGAGCAAGTCTGAACAATATTACTGGTAGTCACTTAGGCCTGTATATTTGCTTCATGCTCGGGCTCACACTATCAGCCCGAAAGTCAGAGTGGCAGGAGCATGCGTATTCTGAGGCCCAAGCAATGCACGGCCTCCAAAACTGCCTCGTGCTTCAACAGTTCTCTCAAAGACCTGTTAAGTCTTGGAGACTTCAGAGCCCAGTAGGCACCTGTGCAACTCTTCAAGATTTTCAATGACAGTCTGAAGGACGCCGAGCAGTGCTTGAGCACGAAGGGTGATACCTCGGGGCTGATGCACACGAACTGCAATGCGTCGCTCGGATGTTTTCACATGGGCACTGAAGCGTCGTCGCGGTACGGTTCCGCGTGTCAGGTTTTACGAAGCCAAATTTTAGGATTTAACGTGGCTCTTGCACCTTTGAGACTTCAGATTCATATGAAGGGTTCTTCAAGTCTGTTTCCTAAGAAAGGGACCTCATGACGTGGACCCAACAATTCAGAATGCCTGTCGGATGCCGCCTGACCCACTTCGCATGGAGTCTTCAAGGGGACTTGAAGGCCGATGAAGCCCACACAATTCAATCTAAAGGCCCTAGAAATTATCCCGCGCAGAAATCCGTCCTCGGAGCTTTCAAGATGCCCTGAAACTCGAAAGTTTCGAGAAACCACAGCCGGCATAAACCCGAAAGCCACTGACAGACAAGGACGGATGCTGCACAGCACCTGGAGCCCGCAGAGCTGCCACTTGTCGAATTGTAACTACGTTACCAGAGCGACTATGAACATCATGGACCATGGTCTTACTCATCTTCATCATCTTCATCATCATCGTGACGAGCTCTTTAGCACGGTCGTTACTGCTGCAGTCGCATGTGCAATTGCCTTGTTTCGGGTGGAGCCTCTGGAGTTGCGAGTTCTTCGAGCTTAATATAGGGGCCTTAATACTTAGATTCGGGTTTGGGGTATATTCTACTAGAATTATAAACGGAAACCCCCAAAACCCTATTCTAATTATCAAGACCCCTACA